GACCTGAGAGAGAACAGGCACATAACTAGAAGAGGACCTGAGAGAGAACAGGCCATGAACCAGAAGAAGAGGACCTGAGAGAGAACAGGCCATGAACCAGAAGAACAGGACCTGAGAGAGAACAGGCATATAACTAGAAGCGGACCTGAGAGAGAACAGGCCATGAACCAGAAGAAGAGGACCTGAGAGAGAACAGGCCATGAACCAGAAGAAGAGGACCTGAGAGAGAACAGGCACATAACTAGAAGAGGACCTGAGAGAGAACAGGCCATGAACCAGAAGAAGAGGACCTGAGAGAGAACAGGCCATGAACCAGAAGAAGAGGACCTGAGAGAGAACAGGCCATGAACCAGAAGAACAGGACCTGAGAGAGAACAGGCATATAACTAGAAGCGGACCTGAAAGAGAACAGGCCATGAACCAGAAGAAGAGGACCTGAGAGAGAACAGGCCATGAACCAGAAGAAGAGGACCTGAGAGAGAACAGGCCATGAACCAGAAGAACAGGACCTGAGAGAGAACAGGCATATAACTAGAAGCGGACCTGAGAGAGAACAGGCCATGAACTAGAAGCGGACCTGAAAGAGAACAGGCCATGAACCAGAAGAAGAGGACCTGAAAGAGAACAGGCCATGAACCAGAAGAAGAGGACCTGAGAGAGAACAGGCCATGAACCAGAAGAAGAGGACCTGAGAGAGAACAGGCTATGAACGAGAAGAAGAGGACCTGAGAGAGAACAGGCATATAACTAGAAGAAGAGGACCTGAGAGAGAACAGGCCATAAACCAGGAGAAGAGGACCTGAGGGAGAACAGGCATATAACTAGAAGCGGACCTGAGAGAGAACAGGCCATGAACTAGAAGCGGACCTGAAAGAGAACAGGCACATAACTAGAAGAGGACCTGAGAGAGAACAGGCACATAACTAGAAGAGGACCTGATAGAGAACAGGCACATAACTAGAAGCGGACCTGAGAGAGAACAGGCCATGAACTAGAAGCGGACCTGAGAGAGAACAGGCCATGAACCAGAAGAAGAGGACCTGAGAGAGAACAGGCCATGAACCAGAAGAAGAGGACCTGAGAGAGAACAGGCCATGAACTAGAAGAAGAGGACCTGAGAGAGAGCAGGCCATGAACCAGAAGAAGAGGACCTGAGAGAGAACAGGCCATGAACGAGAAGAAGAGGACCTGAGAGAGAACAGGCCATGAACCAGAAGAAGAGGACCTGAGAGAGAACAGGCCATGAACGAGAAGAAGAGGACTTGAGAGAGAACAGGCCATGAACTAGAAGAAGAGGACCTGAGAGAGAGCAGGCCATGAACCAGAAGAAGAGGACCTAAGAGAGAACAGGCCATGAACGAGAAGAGAACCTGAGAGAGAACAGGCCATGAATCAGAAGAAGAGGACCTGAGAGAGAACAGGCCATGAACCAGAAGAAGAGGACCTGAGAGAGAACAGGCCATGAACCAGAAGAAGAGGACCTGAGAGAGAACAGGCCATGAACGAGAAGAAGAGGACTTGAGAGAGAACAGGCCATGAACTAGAAGAAGAGGACCTGAGAGAGAGCAGGCCATGAACCAGAAGAAGAGGACCTAAGAGAGAACAGGCCATGAACGAGAAGAGAACCTGAGAGAGAACAGGCCATGAACCAGAAGAAGAGGACCTGAGAGAGAACAGGCCATGAACCAGAAGAAGAGGACCTGAGAGAGAACAGGCCATGAACCAGAAGAAGAGGACCTGAGAGAGAACAGGCCATGAACCAGAAGAAGAGGACCTGAGAGAGAACAGGCCATGAACGAGAAGAAGAGGACTTGTGACACTGATGCAAGCACAACCAATCACTCTTCAGTATGCAAATGAATGCAAGTTGGAAGACCAATCAGTAATGAGTCTGACATACTGCTGTCAGTAGGTGATGAAGGTAATAGATTTCATTAAAGGTGTAATGTTCACACAGGGAGAAACGCTACGCTCTAGTAGAGGGTATGCAGTGACGTCAAGGAAGCGATGTTTGAGAAAGGCCTGTAGGGGAAGCTGTCTTCTTCACACACCTGATGCCAGTACGGTGCGTCCGCATGCGTGTCCATCTGCTGATTGAGCCACTGCAGGTTAGTGCTGATGTAGTCTCTGAGCCGCTGACAGTAGCTGACGTCACGAGCGGACGGCTCACAGTAACCCATCAGTGTGTTCATCCAGTGCTGGGAGATCAGCTGTGGCAGACAGAAGATGAACACTTCAGTTCAAACAAAGCGCCAAAATAAATTAATGTAAAATTAAAATGACTTTGCAAGAGATTATTTGCTGCCATCTTTCTCAATCATACAGTAATGCTAGGAAGCTATGAGCTCTGGCTGAGCTTTGACCTGTCGTTTGTTGTTGATTATGTTCATTATGGATTATGTGTACCTGTGAGGTGACGGAAGCCTCCACGAGTCCGGCTGCATACGCCTGCAGAGAGTCATTATAGACCGCACTGGTGCTGACCTCGAGATACGCCCACCTGACACACACATCAATACAAAGCCGTTTTACTATCATCTACACTGAGAAATAATGCAATTCTTCATGTCACGCATGTTTAGTTTCCGCTATTTTGGACCAAATTAACATTACAGCAACCAGAGACTCGTTCTGCAATTTGAACTTGTGTTTTGTGTATGCTTGTCAGGAAACTCTCTCTTCAATGTCTCTCTTCATGTCCACTTATTATAAGCATATTTGGGCTTGCCTCATATAGCATTTAAGTTTATGGAGTTAATAAAGTGGAGCGCATTGCCGGACCACATCCGTGTGCAGTGTAAATGTCAAACCTGTTAAAGGAGCAGTAAGCGATTTCTGAGAAACGCTGTTGAAAGTGGACCGCGCAGAACAACATACTTGTAGCCAATCAGCTGTAGGGGGCGTGTCCACTCATGATGGGGAGGAGAGAGAGTGAGCCAATCAGCTGTAGGGGGCGTGTCCACTCATGATGGGGGAGGAGAGAGTGAGCCAATCAGCAGTAGGGGGCGTGTCCACTCATGATAGGGAGAAGAGAGAGTGAGCCAATCACAGGTAGGGGGAGTGTCTACTCATGATCGGGGAGGAGAGAAAGTGAGCCAATCAGCAGTAGGGGGCGTGTCCACTCATGATGGGGGAGGAGAGAAAGTGAGCCAATCAGCAGTAGGGGGCGTGTCCACTCATGATGGGGAAGAAGAGAGTGAGCCAATCAGCAGTAGGGGGCATGTCCACTCATGATGGAGGAGGAGAGAGTGAGCCAATCAGCAGTAGGGGGCATGTCCACTCATGATGGAGGAGGAGAGAGTGAGCCAATCACAGGTAGGGGGCATGTCCATTCGTGATGAGGAGAGAGTTAGCCAATCAGCAGTAGGGGGCATGTCCACTCATGATGGGGGAGGAGAGAGAGTGAGCCAATCACAGATAGGGGGCATGTCCATTCGTGATGAGGAGAGAGTTAGCCAATCAGCAGTAGGGGGCATGTCCACTCATGATGGAGGAGAGAGTGAGCCAATCACAGGTAGGGGGCATGTCCATTCGTGATGAGGAGAGAGTTAGCTAATCAGCAGTAGGGGGCATGTCCACTCATGATGGGGGAGGAGAGAGAGTGAGCCAATCAGCAGTAGGGGAAGTGTCCACTCATGATGGGGGAGGAGAGAGAGTGAGCCAATCAGCAGTAGGGGGCGTGTCCACTCATGATGGGGGAGGAGAGTGAGCCAATCAGCAGTAGGGGGTGTGTCCACTCATGATGGGGGAGGAGAGAGAGTGAGCCAATCAGCAGTAGGGGAAGTGTCCACTCATGATGGGGGAGGAGAGAGAGTGAGCCAATCAGCAGTAGGGGAAGTGTCCACTCATGATGGGGGAGGAGAGAGTGAGCCAATCAGCAGTAGGGGGAGTGTCCACTCGTGATGGGGGAGGAGAGAGTGAGCCAATCAGCAGTAGGGGGAGTGTCCACTCATGATTGGGGAGGAGAGAGTGAGCCAATCAGCAGTAGGGGGCGTGTCCACTCATGATGGGGGAGGAGAGAGTGAGCCAATCAGCAGTAGGGGGAGTGTCCACTCGTGATGGGGGAGGAGAGAGAGAGAGCCAATCAGCAGTAGGGGGCGTGTCCACTCATGATGGGGGAGGAGAGAGTGAGCCAATCAGCAGTAGGGGGAGTGTCCACTCGTGATGGGGGAGGAGAGAGTGAGCCAATCAGCAGTAGGGGAAGTGTCCACTCATGATGGGGGAGGAGAGAGTGAGCCAATCAGCAGTAGGGGGAGTGTCCACTCGTGATGGGGGAGGAGAGAGAGAGCCAATCAGCAGTAGGGGGCGTGTCCACTCATGATGGGGGAGGAGAGAGAGTGAGCCAATCAGCAGTAGGAGGAGTGTCCACTCATGATGGGGGAGAGAGAGTGAGCCAATCAGTAGTAGGGGGCGTGTCCACTCATGATGGGGGAGGAGAGAGAGTGAGCCAATCAGCAGTAGGGGGCGTGTCCACTCATGATGGGGGAGGAGAGAGAGTGAGCCAATCAGCAGTAGGGGGCGTGTCCACTCATGATGGGGGAGGAGAGAGAGTGAGCCAATCAGCAGTAGGGGGCGTGTCCACTCATGATGGGGGAGGAGAGAGAGTGAGCCAATCAGCAGTAGGGGGCGTGTCCACTCATGATGGGGGGTAGAGAGTTAATCTTTTAAACTGACACGTGTCGTTTGTTCAGAGACTGTAGTGCTCGTAAATGTAATAAATATATTATTAGACATTTTAAATGTTCGTCCGCATTTCTCCCTCGTTTTGGGAGTTTGTTGTCATATAGGGTTATATTTTTTAAATACATCAAGTTGCCCTCATTTTAATATTCATGTATCTGTACGAGTGTGTTGCAGGTCTGTGTTTTATTGGTTGTCGTCTCCTTTTCCCGCCCTCTACTCTCCCACAGCTTTACACACCCATTTCTCAAGTCTTTTTCAGTTCTGAGTTGTGAGTAGCTGCATTTCCACTGCCTGGCCTAAAGCGAGCAGCTAGAACACGTTCTGTCAGGGCATCTCGTCTCTTTATACCGCACTGTCTGATGTCCATATTTAGCTATGCATATGTCATAAAATAAAGCAACTCCGGTTTTTCGAGAGCTTCCTCGGTTTCTCTGACTGAAAATATAACTGTGTTGGAAGAGAGTGCTAAGGCTCCTCACGGCGTATATTTGGTGGCATATTTGTAGAAATGATTGTTCTTTCTAAGTGTGATTTAAATAGCTGTGACTACAAATAACAGAAACAGACACGACTGAATAAATACTTTTGTGATTTAACGGTAAATACCACTTTATTTCTGTGTGACTAATGTGCAATATTGACAAGTCAATTCCTTATGATTAATGTATCACTTTTTATTGTAAACGTGGTAAAACATTGATGCTTGGGTTTTAAATCTTTTAGCAAACAACAAAAATGCCAACAAACGGTTGCTTTTATCATGTTCATTTCGAGATCTCGCTAGTTTCCAGTGATTTTCTTCTGAAGAGTTCTCTGATAAAACTTCCACTTGTTGGTGAAGTGATGGGTTTGTGTGACGCTGCTCCAGAGAGGCGTGTTACGGGTGTGTTTTAGTGGAGCGCCTGAGGGGGAACGCAGTGTGTTTTGGGCTCGGTGCTCCAGGAGGCTATTAGCCCGTTTAAAGCCCCGGCTCGCACTGGCCCCACAGTGGACACACGGCTACTCGCCAGCCTTAAACAGGGGTTTCATGACATCTTAAGAGGAATAACACGCTGGTTGGGTTAAAAGTAACAACGTGTTTTCCTTATCTAGACACATAGATGTGTTAAGAAATAAAACACGTCTGTTTTAAGAGTCAGTGGGAGCCAGAAAACACCCACATCTCTGTTTAGTGCAACAACAGCCACAAAGCTGCCGAGAATCAGCGCTGGTGTTTCGAGAACGGGACTGAGACGACAACTTCAACAAGGTTAAATGTGAAAAGTAATCGGGGAGGGCGTCGTGTCATCAGCAGATCTTTTAAACGCGTCTCTTCTCCAGCTCTTCCAGGGTCAGCGGATCCCGGTACGACTGCGTTAGCTGGCACCATCACCACAACCTCACGCTGTAAGTCTCTCCGTCTAATGTGTGTTAAAGTCATTGTTTTACACACCAGTTACAATAAACTGGGCGGGTTAATCTTCAACGAAAACAACGTTTTTATTTTTGGGTCACTTATTGTTTTATATGTGAATAAAAGCATAAATTAAATCTGTTCATCATGTAAAGCGATTGAGTCTTCAAAAATTTGGAAAACCTTGACTTTGGATTAGTTTTACAATGTCTTTATGAACTTTCTGAAGCGTCAAAGTAGTAGTTGAGTACTGTCAACGGAGGGATCAGAAACCTCTCTCACTTCATCAAGAATATCTTAACTTGTGTTCTAAAGGTGAACGGAAGTCTTACAGGTTTGGAACGACATGAGGGTGAATAAATAAGGACTGAAATTTCCTTTTTGGATGGTGAACTAACCCTTCAAAAGAACAGATTGTCTGGCAAGCAACTGACTATAATACCCCTCTGAGAGACAATACAAATCTTTCTGCTGTCGTGTCAATAGAAATACATTCGTGTAATTTAGAACTTTTGTAATTTCTATTAGAGATTTCAGTTTGATTTTTTTCCCTTGATCAATTCATATGATAGCCTATATATTCTCTTAATAATAATAATAATAATAATAATTTTATTTATAATGCGCTTTCTGATGGTAAGAGATTGTTTTGTGCTTATAGGTGAAAGCACAATAATTCTGTTAAAATGTAAAAATCTATTTCTCAAATGACAACAATTGCTGTGATTATAATGATGAGCAAAACAATCGTTATCAATTTAACCAGTTTTCATTGACTAAAACTAGAGTAAAATGCGACAACATTTAGTCGACTAAAACTACATTATATATATGAATATTATATTGTAAAAAATGAAAATAAACGTTAAAAAAAAAAATCGCAGCAGCACTATAAATAAAATAAAACAATCTCGTGTTTTTAACAACGCATTCTGTGTGAACCGGCATTAAGTGTTTTAATGATACGATAAAAGAGCAGCTTTGATATTGTGACATCATTGTGACATGTTGCTTCATATTGTTCATAATCTGTCCAGCAGTGAAAGCATGGATCCGATCATCATCGGCACAATAATGGGGGGGATCGTGGCTCTCGCTATCATCGTCGCCATGACCTGCTGCTGTCTCAGAAACAGTGAGTGCTTCCCACAGAAATCAGTCCTGTGCTTCTTAAACACACATTTGAGTGATAATGAGGGATGCTATATTACAGTTTTTCTTGATTGCTTAAAATTTCAAAACCATAACGCCATTTATCAAAAAGCACACCCATTTCCCTAAACTATAAACACTATTCCCCGGGTCACTGCAAAACTCTACACGCAAATCCCTTCATTTCTCATTGCCTACACCATGTTGTCATTTAGAAAGCACTAGCATTCAATCTTGTTAAATCAAGTCAGCACAGCTTCAGCTCAGTTATC